CCGCGCTGCGCAGTCGCCCGGACGACGGCCGCCGAGCCCGCGCGCGCCGCGGTCACTAGGAGACGGTGCCTGGGGATACCGCGCCTGCCGGGAGCCGCCTTCGCCCACGTTGAACTCGGCCTGTCCGCGCCTTGGACCCCGGCCCACACTGGGGTTTCTCTTCCCGAGCTGAGGTACCGTCAGGCAGAGCTGTACGCTCCACAGGGCGGCAGCCAACCCCCCAAATGTAGATTGAGACAAGAGCAGAGCCATTAAGTCAGACCCCACTGGTAGTTTCTCCGTTCCTGGCTTAAGACGTCCCCTTCCCTCCTTCTAGAAAAGTATGGTCTGCATGTTCTCGCTCCTGGGAGTGGCAGTGGGGGAGTGGCAGCAGGGAGGAGGCAGTGCCAAGAGATGACTCAATACTGCGGCGGTTTGGGGGTGTCGCGGTAGCAGGGCCCACGACCTTAATGAAGGCGTTCTTGGAGGTCCGTTGCACAGTCGATCCGGATCTCCCTGGGAGTCCTGCAGGAGGCAGGCCTTAGGAAGAAGCTGCCTGATGTGCTGCGTTGCATAGGCAGTGGGACCCAGTCCAGGGCGGTCAAAGAAGGCTTGCAGGAGAAGCCCTGGCATCAGAAAGATCGGCCCCTCAACAGTAAGCTGCAGGGATGCAGCAGGTGCTCAGGTGTATGGGAGCACTCCTTGCCTCAAAGCAAGCACATGTGAAGAGGGGGTAAAGGACTCTTGAAACACCATCACCTCAGATGTAGTGGATTGAATTATGTCCCCCGAAAACTCTCTGAAGCTTGAATTGTGTCCCCCAAGTTTTATGTATTAGAAACTTAGCCCCCACTGTGGGAAATCCTATTACGGTAGTTGAAAGGTGGAGGCTTGAAGAGGTGATTGGATTGTACAACTGTACAGTAGTGAATGGGTTAAAAATGGTTGCCAGGGGCGTGGTTCTGAGGGCTTTAAAAGAAGAGTGTCTCTCTCTCTCTCTCTCTCTCTCTCTCTCTCTCTCTCTCTCTCTCTCTCTCTCTCTCTCGTTGTCTCTGCTCTCTCTGCTTCCACCATTTTGCAATGTGAGACCCCTGGGTCACTATCGCCACAACCAGATGGACTTTGGACTTCCCAGCCTCAGAAAGTATAAGCAATAAATTTCGTTTTTTTTTTATAAATCACCCAATTCCATGTATTTTGTTATAAGCAACACAAAACGGACTAATGCATCAGAGGAAAATTAAACTCAGATTATCACCAAAAAAAAAAAGGGGGTGGGGGGTGGGGGACATAGCAGTGGTTAAGTACCAAGACATTTCTGTGCTCTCTGCTCTTCTAGGGCTGGGTTTATCTTCTGGCAGATTCACGCGCACCACGGCAGAAGCTGTCCCCCCCATCCCACCCATGCAGACAAGAGTGACACCATTAAGGTAGGTCTCACTGATGGTTTCTCCTTATCCAGTTAAGGCCCTCCCCCTCCTCCCTCCTTCCAGAAAAGCATAATCTGCATTTTCTGGTTTCCTCAGTCAGGACAGGACAGGGGTTTCCAAGGGCAGGCCCACCTCCTGCCTCCTGAGAGTCTAAACACAACGGCAGGTTTCACCAGTCCCCCAAGCACAAGTGCATCCACTAATCCAGCCACCTTAGGGACCACCTTGTCAATCTCCTTAGGATACTGCAGAGAAACACTGCCCCACAAAAAAAGTTTCTGGACATTTAGGGGATGAGGGGGGTGGGGCGCAGGTAGCACTGGGAGCTGTTGTAAGCTAAAGCTGGGATGCTAACCAAACACCATCAGTGGTTCAGCATCTCACTTCAGATGGACAGCTCTGGAGGCAACCCCCGCGCAGAGGCTGAGGCAGTGAGGAACTAGCCCCTTTCCCCTAAAGTGAATTCCAAAAGAAATAAAATTGCTGCTAAAGAAATGTTTCTGATTCAAATAGATGGAAATTCTATTATCAATTTAGGACTTTTCAAATTTACTGCAGCTTGGGCTGGCCAGCTGGCTCAATTTGTTGGAGCACAGTTCTGTAACACCAAGGTTAAGGGTTCCAATCCAACTGCCAAAAAACCCAAATTTCCTGCAGCTTGTCTTTCATTCACCCTAGTTAGGTCAGAAGTCTCTAAATTTCTGAGTACAGTAGTACAATAGAAGCAATTCAATTTTTCCAAACCATACGAATCTCCTAAATTTTTAAATATGATGAATACCAACAATCGATTTTACCAAAGACCTCATAGTTTCCTGGTACCAGTGAATGAACGGTGAGACCATTTCCCTCAAGCCTTTCAAAAATTATAATTAGTTCACCATAAAATCCTCACTTAAACTATTTTCTTGAACTCCATTCTTCCACCTTTCTATTTCAGATTGAGTATCCCTAATTTGAAAATCAGAGATCCAAAATCTGAAACATATTGAGTGTTGACATGATGTTCCAAGGAAATGCTCATTGAAGCATTTCAGATTTCGGATTACGGGTGCTGAATTGGTGAGTATAATGCAAAATTATATTCAAAATCCAGAAAAACCTGAAATCCAGAACAGTTCTGGTCCCAAGTATTTCACGTAACAAACAACCTGTACCTGTATCCAGTGGAGTTATGGCTACTGCTGCAGAGGCTTCTCTGCCAGCTCATCACCAAGACAGCACAAGGCAAGCAGGTGTCAGAGGGCCTGCCTCACCCCCATTTTTGCTCCACCTGCTGTCAGCCTTGGGAACTTCACAACCACATCATAAACCAGAATTTCTCAGCCTTTTAAAAAGGTTTTAACCTCTGGCTCTTTTTATGCCATGGCAGTCCTACCTCAATTGCTGTTATATACACTGCCAAATCTGGGCTTCGTGCTGTGTTCTGTGTTATAACAATTAGACTTTCTAGTTTCTAACAGCAAACATTTTTTGTTGTTTTGCCATTTACTAGCAGTGGTAGCCTTAAGCAAATTATTTATCATTTTAAAAAGCTATGTAATGTAGTTGATGTTAGTACATACCTCACAGGGCTGCTGTGAGGACTATAAACGGGTACATACTCAGTCCTTGTTAATGTGATTGTCTTGTGGGGATAGGAAATACTCTGGCTAGTTGGTAGATGGCAGAGTCCAAGCCTGGCATACAGGTAATACTCACATGCTTGTTGCATGAACCCCTAGGGGTGACATGGAAAATACCTTCTCTAGACTTTGCTAGAATATGCTATCTCCACTTGTCCCTTTCTAGGATCACCAAGAGTACGGTGCCAAGGCCATCATGCCCTGTCCACTGCTCTGCAGGGATGGCCCTGTGCATGTGTAGTCCTTCAGCTCTTGGCCTTACTGCCCCAGTAAAAACATTCACTAGTGACCAATTCCATCTGTGACCCGGTTGGACTGGAGACTCCTGGAAGGTAAAGCCTATGCATCTTTTGCACACCACTGTATGCTCAGGTGCCAAGCATAGAGCTTGGCACACCTGAGGTCCAAAGAGGAGCAGCTGTGGAGTTCAGACTGGCAGTATGTGAGGTCTCTTCTGGCCTCAACTGCCCTGTGCATGCTGCCCACAGCTCTGGAGCTACCTACCAATGCAGCTGCTGCCACCTCTGATACCACAAATGTGGACCCTCAATCAAAACCCAAACCCCATTTCCTTTCTTGGGATTAGACTCCAAACACTTCCATTTTCTGTGCCGAGTCATCTCTTCATAACCCTCAGGGCCCCTGTGAAGCCACAATTCCCCATGCCATACTCCATGGCCCTATGCTTCCATGTCTGGTTTGGAGGGAGCCAGGGATTTTCTGAATGGGAGTTTGGGGCATTTGTATCAGTATGCTCTACCACAATCCTGACATCTGTTTGTGGTGGGGAATGATTCAGCCTGCACCCAGGGAGGTAGAGGAAAACTGCCAGGATATTCTACTTCCCTCCACAGGGACCACTTACAGGTGCCCTCTTCCCGTACAGCCAGAAAGAGAAGAAAGGCAGAGCCAAGTCTGGCCAGTGGGGTCTTCACAGACTTCTGGAGGAGGGGCCTGGCCAGTCAGAAGGCCCTCATCTGGTGCTCACTGGCCAGAACCCTCTGTGGCTCAGGCGGCTACTTGTACCCTTTGAAGAAAGACTACACACACATTTTTATAATCAGAAACTTAGTTTATTTTGAATAAACCACTCAACTTTGAGCAGATGACATTGCCTCAAGTAACTTTTTCTTGGAAGAAAAACAAAATATGGTAAATTCATGAAAAACACTGTCTTCCTTTCTCTTCTTCCTTTGTAGGGCAGAAATTCTGCCTGACATTTCCCATCTTCCTGATAATGTTTACAAAGGACAGCCACTGGGGGCACAAAAGGAAGCTCTCCACAGGTTTAACAGCTACAGGCTATGGTCTGAGCACAGAACACCCTGCAGCTCTAGTGCTCAGGACCACAGATGAATGCAAGTGCGGAACATGGCAAATGTGCAGTCCAAAAGATGCCCGGGGTGTGACATACAGTGCAGAGCTGCAACTCAGGTCTTGTGCCATGGTGGTGCCACAGAAAAGACTCAATGGAGAGATAAAGGCTCCAGATGCTCAGATGCCAGTCCATATGCTAACACAGCATTCACAGCTCACCCCTAGGTCCAGCAGCAGGCACTCTCCTCATTCACAGTTAGCTCCCCCACTGTTCCATTCTGGGTTCATTTGCTACACTCACTCCTAACTTGTCCTCCCAGTCTACCCCACAGCCCCCCTCCCTCGCTGGGGACAACAGGAAGAGACAAAACCTGAGGGGAGAGAAAGGGAACCTGCAGCCAGCCATGTACCCCATGACCCCGACAGTCACAGATTTCCTCTGTCTTCAAGAATTACTCTGTTTTACAGCTTATATGGTACCTGGGAAATCGCTGACGGGGGGTGAAAATGTCTGAATATCAAATAATTTCCACAATAGTCACAGATTTCCCTGTCAGTTATCCCAGGAGGTCAAGGAAGCCCTGTTGAGTATGGGCAGTCTGTTCATCTCAGAGTGGAGGCACTGAGCAAAGCCACAGGAACCCTAGAGATCACAGGTCCAGGTTCAGGACAGGTAGGACACCAAGCAAACCACTTGCTCCCTGCACTCAGCTGTCCAAAAGCTGGTCCTTTCCTCTGGCCAGCCCCTCCTAGTACAGAAGCTGGGACCGCAAACCAAGGACTCTCCTGGGTTTAGACTCCCAGACCACAGAGGTGGTGTCATCTGACAGCTGGAACCAGGTAAGGGGAGCACAACCCACCCCAAAGCAACTGTTGGACATGCTCCAGGCAATATGAAAACAACCTGTGCAAACCTGGCCTCTGAGCCAGGAAGGCCAGTGCCCTTGGGAGGGCCATGTTGAACTCCCACCCTGATGTTCACCAGATGATGGTGCAGCAAGACAGTGTCAGGTATGGTCACATGTGACCCTGGTCAGAGTTACACCACTTGAATACTGGCAAAAAAGAAGGGACCAAGGTAAAACAAATTTATTTGGAGGAACAATTCCCTTCAAAAGTGGATCTCTATCTTTAGGAGACAAAAGGAAACACCATGCTGAACCCCTAGTCTGGAGGGCCACAAGCCCATCTATGTTTTGCTGTGGGCTCTAGCCCAGGTAAACCTCACTTTCAAGAATAAAGATGAGCCCACAGACACACAGTGCCACCAGAGACACCTCTTAGCAAGAAGACCCTCTTCTGTACTGTCTCCTTAGTGCCAAGGTAAGGCAGAAGGCATGATGTGACTCCCTGTGCTCCACGCCCATTACACAGACCAACTCAATTCCCCACCATCTGCCACCTTGCTCTTTCCTTGGGACTCCAGGTGTGGTCAAACATGTGAATTTGAAAAGCAGAGGCCACCCTGGGGCCCTCTTGCAGTACAGACATTCTGAGGCAGGATGGGTGGGCAGCATATGTTACATTCTAAGTAAAATAGCTAGAGGGTAAAACACTCCAATGCCAATTTATTTTTAAAAAGGGCTCTGTGTTATCCTATGGTTTGGTTGCCTTTGTTTTTTATATAATTGTACAACCTTTAAAATTACATAAGTTGTAATGATCTAATACTATTAATAGCCATTTGGAAAAAACTTTTCCTCCCTCCCAACAACCATCCAGGGAGTACTAAAAGTCCTGAAAAGATGCCAATTCAACATAGCTTCTACCCTGGTAGAAACAAAAAGCAAAAAGATGAGAAGAAAACAGAAATTGACTAAGAGGTGTGTTGCCAGTGTCTCTCAGGAGTGGGGCCCTAGCTGTCGCCTGGGGTCATGAAAGGCAGAGCCTGCAGCATGCAGTATCGCAGCCAGAAGACCTCACAGCCACATCTTCCTCACCCTGGCACATTCATGTCCCAACTTAGGTGTCATGGAAATCCTTCAGCAGGGTTCTCCTCCGCTGTTCCGCTATATGCATCTGGTTCTCCAAATCCTGCATCAGGGAAGCAAGATAGGTGCTTGCATGGCCCAGTCCCCAGAGTAGGGAGTAGCCAAAGCCACACCCACCATGTCAGGGGCTCCAAGGGTTCAAAAGCATTGCCTTTCCCACCCTTCTCACCCAGCTTCCACTTCCCATGCTAACAACCCTGTCACCTATTACTATGCCAGTCCTCCCTTACCTGCAATACAGGGTCCAGGGGGATAAGAGGCACCTACCCCTCTGTCATAGCTGTCTGCACGCTCCACTTTCCATGAGAGGTTTTCAATCTCAGCCTCCAGCTGAGCCTGCTGGTATTCAAACTGTATGGGTAGAGCAGGAGGGTCAAAAGGAGAAGGGGCTGTAGCCGGGGCAGGGCCTGCAGATGGAGGGGTACAGGCAGCACCTCAGGCTCGCTTGAGCTACAGACAACCCTGACACTGTCCTCAGAGAGCAGTTCTATGCCCTGTGCCCAGAGCCAGAATCCAAACAAAAGGCTACTTGAAGAGTATGGCGAAATGGCAAGACCACACTCTCCCTCTACCCCAAAGGATGGGGAAGAGTTTAAGCCACTGAAGAGAATGCTCCCAACATATAGAGAAATACTGCAAAAGCAAGTAAAAATGGATATTCTCAGACACTGTATTCACACTGTATTCACTGAACACTTTCCATTTTTTCAACCCTTCTGCAAATCAAGAGCCTTAAAAATACCCAAACCATTTGACTTAGTAATTCTACATCTAAGGAGATAAAGCATTGTGCACAAAGATGCTCTTCAAGAGAACAGAACTGTGGGCGTGGGGTGAGGGGAGGGGGAAGAGAACAGAACTGTGGTTACTAGAGGTGGGAAAGGGAAAGAGGCAGGGAGGTTAGCGAGAAATTGGTTAACGAACATACAGAATGATTACATTTTGTAATGATGAATAAGCTTAACATCCTGATTTGATCATCACACATTGTACAGAGGTATTGATATTCAGCTCTGTATCCCACAAATATGTATAATCAATTGTTTCAATAAAAAAAGATGCTCCTTAATGTCCTACTTATAATAGTGAAAAAGAGAAACAATAAATGTCCTAAATGATGGTACAACCATATGATGATACATTTATGCAGCCATTAAAAAAATGATATGTACATAAGAGAAAGAAAGAATAAAAAAAAAGAAAAAGAAAAAGAAAAAAAAAATAAATAAGAAGGGGAAAAAAAGGTATTTACCAGTCTGGTAAATGGCAACAGCTGTAAAAATAAAATGTTCTACATAACCTTGATTATATATATAAATTAATTTTAAAAGGCTGGATAACGATAACAGTCGTCATTTCTTTCTGGTGGGATTACAGACGGTGGAAATGCTTTTCTATGTTTTCCAATATTTAAATAATAAATGTAAACTAGTTTATAAACAGCAGGAAACAACCCATATCTAAGATAAAGAATTAAACGTCATTTCTTTCTGGTGGGATTACAGACGGTGGAAATGCTTTTCTATGTTTTCCAATATTTAAACAATAAATGTAAACTAGTTTATAAACAGCAGGAAACAACCCATATCTAAGATAAAGAATTAAACAAAAGTAAAACAAGGACAATATAACTCAGGGACATGCATGCTGAATATCCTCCCAAAGCATGGGTATTGGCATTCCAAGTGGCCACAGACCTTTTCAGCCAATTGCTTAAAATATAGTTGTTCAGGGGCTTAGGTGCATCTGCCTTAATATTACAGAAAATGACAGAACTTGAGATCTATTTTGGAGATGGCCAGAGTAGAAATGGAAATTTTATAATTAGACAGTTTTCTTTTCTTTTTTTTTTTTTTTTTTAAAAAGATGACCGGTAAGGGGACCTTAACCCTTGACTTGGTGTTGTCAGCACCACGCTCACCCAGTGAGCAAACCGGCCATCCCTATATGGGATCCGAACCTGTGGCCTTGGTGTTATCAGCACCGCACTCTCCCAAGTGAGCCACAGGCCGGCCCTAATTAGACAGTTTTGTTTTGATTTGCCCTCCCAATGACCAGGGTCTGGTCCCTCCCCTCTCTCCTGCAAAGTGCTGGTAGACAAAGGTATCTCTGAAGCTAACAGGACAGAGTGGAGGGATTGCTTTGGCTTACCAGCTTCTTCCTGGGTCCAGACTCCATGTAGTATGCATATGGGTAAGTGTATTGCAGGGTGTATCGACACTGCAATAGGAGAGAAGAGAAGGGACCTGTGTCTCTGATTCTAACCTACCCACATCTCTGGTGTCCCTTACAATTCTTACCCCACCAGGTAAATTAGTCTGGCTGTACAAGTATGGGCCTGAAAGAAATTAAATCAAGCCAAAGAGAGGATGAATTGAGGGAAGACACAGGGAAAACTGAAACAAAAATAGTCACAGAACACCCACAGTTCCTTTTTCAAACTGTGATTTATTACCAGCAGCTGCCTCAATGGCTTTTCCCTCTCGAGTTGGACATCAGAGTCCACACATCTATCTCAATACTTGTCCAAAGACAATCCCTCATTTTCCTTTGAGTGATGTATAGATGGGACAAAGAAGAAAAAGGTTCTAGTTTCCCCTGCAGGCAAAGGCAGTGGAACACTCTTCTTGGAGATCCTCTGGACAGCCAGCAGAGGGCTATGTCCTTGGTCAGCACACCACAAGGAAATGTGGACCCATAATGAGAAGCATGTAGCGCTGTACAGGATGCACTTCCACCCCCACCCCCACCCCCACCTCACATAGAGCCTTCCATCCTCAGAGGTCTGTGCCTAACAGGGCCAGGCAATGGACTAGGGATAGGAAGAGTGAGGTGGTAGATACCTTGGCCAAGAGCTTCGCAGCATTCTGTAGGTACTGCCAGTCAATCCATGTCCCCAGATTATTCATGACCCTTTCCTGAATCTTCTCGTGAATACGCTGGTATGTTTGTGCCTCTAGCTGCAAGCTTTTGTTGTGGTTTTCCCACTACAGGACACAGAAGAAAGGGGAGAACTACAGGAGTCCTAGGAAGGTGCAGAGGTCCACAAAGGAATTCAGGACAGAGAGTTTGGCTGGCAGGGCATGGCCACAGACTCCTCTAACTTATGTGGACTGTGTGTACTTGAGAATCCAGGAGATGGGGTCTAGTCCACACTTCTAACCCTGTCCAGAGAAACTGTCTGCCTGTCAGATCACTCCGCCTCTCTGGTGCAATAGGATACCAACCAGGAGGACTAAGCAAAGCCAGGCCCTCGCTGGTCTACTATGCTTAGAGACCAAATGTGTCATCTCTGCGGGCTTATGAAGGGTCTCCCTGAGAGGAACTGCTCTCTTAAATGACTACTAACGTGGATGGAAAAGACTGTTTAATAGCCCTTCATTGTCCTTCCATCTACCACTGAACTAAGGTCAGTACCAGGTCCTTCCCCGTCAGCTGTGACTGCCCTGTAGAGCCCGAAAGCCACATCTATAGAGGTAGCACCCAGAGCCACTTCAGGGGCTCCATCCTCTGACTTCTATGTGCACAGGCTGGCTCTGGCTACCAGCCACTGGGAATCCCATCTTAGCAGGCCAACTGGAGGGGCAGGGGTAGAGGCAGGTGCAGGAAAGGATTCCTACCCTCTCAAAGTAGAACAAGTACTTCTTGAGGGCCTCCCTGGCCTGGGCTTGCTGGCTCTGGTTGACAATGTCAGGATTCTCCTTGTACCGACTACACTCGTAGTATTCGCTGCCATGAGTCTTCCAGTCTCCTAGACACATCCAACAGAAGTCTGTACAGAACAGAGGAAGAGCCATTTACAAACGAGACAACCCCACAATCCTCCAAGGCATAGACAAAGCACAAGGACGAACAGACCCTGCTCCAGAGGGGTCACCTGACCAGAATTTCCCAAGAGTGCCTCTTTCCAAAAGGAATGTGCACCTCTCATCCCTGAGATATCCTACTGTCCTTGTAGCTTATCCTTGCAGATAAGAACAATGGCCTAAGGGTATTCTCCATTCCATGAGCACATGTACAGCTATGTGCCTTATTAATCCAACACAGGCAGATGCTGACTGTACTGGTCTGCTGTATCAATGCCACTGTGAGAAGCAAAAACTTGTCTGAGGCTCACGTGGTTATCCAGAACACTCATTGTCTGTACAAACTGCCTTCCTGACTACCTCCCACCCTCACAACACTTGTCCCGGGAAGATTTTTAAACACGAACCTGATAATAAAGGCCTTTTCCCTTTTTCTTTTTTTTTTAAACAGCACATTTCTATAAAAACTATAGTTCATAGTTCATACTCAGAATTATGATTCTGCTTCCACACTGAGGAAGCCAGAGGGAAAAATAATGATCCCCTTATGGACATTATTCATCTAAATAACTGTTGCAGTCTAGGGCTGGCAGGTTATTTCAGTTGGTTAGAGTACGATGTTATAACACCAAGGTCGAGGGTTCATACCCCCTTACAAGCCAGCTGCCCCCCCCCGCCCCAAAATTGTTGCAGTCTAATGGAGAGAGGCCAACCCCAGTGCTTAGATGTCCAATACCTGGTCTACATTTGGTCTCTGCCAGAGTCCCTAACAGTGGTAAAACCCTGTTTCCAGGATTCACTCTCATAACCTGGCTCACTGACTTCTGAATAGGAGCTCATATAAAGTTTTAGGGAATATAAAGCCAAACACAGAGAGCCAGAGGTCATTCAACTTCTCTTCTCCTGGTAGCCTTCACCTAACAGTGGCAACATTGCCATTGCCTTAATCAGCTATCTGGTGCTTGCTACTGTTTTGAAGAATAACACATTGCTTAGGGTTGCCCTTAGAGGTGGCATAACTATACAGCAAAGCAAGGGATAATAGTTAACTCTGGGTGTGGAGGGACAGGGAGATTATGCTGGGTAGGGGCACACAAGGAGCTTTTAAGCACTAGGAATGTTGTGGGTATTGGGGTGTTTGTCATTCTTTAAACTGTACGTGTGTCTTATACACTGTTTCTAAGTGTGTGATACACTCTTCTCTCACTCAAACACACGCACATGGACAGTGGGCCTCACCAAGGAAATGCGCCACTATCCTTGGCCTATCTTTGTTCTACATGTAAGAGTCACTATTCCTGGCTAAAACTCTGTCATGTCCATTGACTGCAGAGGGCTCCTGGGAATAGCATTAGCATGGGCCCTTACAAAGAGAAATTCTCAGGGTCTCCTGGTCAGCATCAAAACAATTATGTAGGATACCTACTAAGACTTTTTTTTCTACTTGAAGAAATTTTGTTTCTTCACTTGATCTGGCAGGAAGGAAAGCAAAATCAACAGATTCTAGCTATGTAAACTGTTCCTGATAGATGAAGGGGGCCTGAAAGACCAGATCAAATCCTTCTCCGGAAGCTTTATAAAACCAAGGAAAAATTATTTTACTACCTCTGGTAAAAGCATGTATAGCCTGCTCTGTGGTATCTATAACGTAGCATACATAAGCCCCATGCTACTTACCTACCTTGCCAAAAAGAATAAAAACACACTAAAATCTTCTTGGATGACTGAGGATCATGAGGGTCATCCCAAACTTGACTTCTGACTACATGTGTCAGCAAAATGGCAGTGGGATTATAAGAGGGACCAAAAAATAAAAAACAAATAAAAATCAAGCACTGCTTTATGCCATTTATTATGATGATAAGTGATGAGGCTCCCCTTTGTTTTGCCATTTCACTACAAAAGTATTCACTAAATAAGCAATGGAGACCTAAGCACAAGAAACAGACTGTGCCACCGGGCCTTAGTACCAAGCCTGGGACTCACCGTGTTTACACTTGGAGCATTGCTGTCAGAGGGAAACAGAAGAGAACACATTAAGGGCACGCTGACCAAAGGCTCCATGTCACACATGCAAAGTGTACAGGCTTCTGCTCACCATGTGATTGCAGCCTCCATTCTTCTCAATGCAGATGTTGCACTTGGGACACTGAGGAGACAGAAGGGCGCCGTTAGGCTCACACACATCAGGCCGGTTCTAAGACAAATTACACAAAGCTCCTGGCACATGTGCCCAGTAGCTCATCGTGTGAGCACTTCTGGGGAGGAGCATCTCACTTAAATGTGGCAGGTCGCTGAGGCTGGAATAGCAATTCAAGGAAATGAGGTCAGCATGTTTGGCTTTGAAACACTTGAAGCACCAGCTGAGCTCCACCAACTGTCCCTGCTTTCCACCATCTGTCCCTGCCTTGAAGCCACTTAGATTAAGCACTGGCTGAATCAGCAGAAAGTCTGCCTGACTGGGAGGACTGCCAAAGATGCACAAGAGCTGCCACCCTGGATTAAGTCCTGGTCAGCTTGCCTGGACTTCTGCTTCCAAAAGAGGGCAAGGAAACCACCTCTTAAGCTCCTTTCTCTTATTCAAGAGATGCTGGCAGCGATGCAGAGATCAGTCTGATGCTGTGCTCTCACACTGCCATGAAGAAAACTATGCTAATGACGTCACCATCACAGGTATACTTGTGAGTACATTGACTCAGTGAGTGACTGGCACAGGGTACAATGGCCCCTAGAGCCTGTAGGCCATGCTTTCCTATGGGAAGCTTCAAAATGAGAACTGGCCAGACCTTGGCTTGCTATTTATCAGGTTTGGCTATTAACCACCTCCTTACCAGGGCTGTTAAAGCCTGGTAGGTAATCAATAAAAAATAGTTTTCTTCTAACTCCCCTTTGGGTCAAACTTTTCCAGGCATTTTGGTTTATTAAAATAAACACACACAATGCAACCTATGATAAACTGCTGCTAACTCTACCAAGTCTGAGTAAGGGTCCACAGCCCCCACCAAGGGCCCTGAGGCTCTGGGTGTTCTGCTCTCAGATGGAAAATCTTCAGGACAAGGCCCTGGGCAGCACTAAGGAGGGCAGATTTATGACAGGTAAGATATGGTCCTTACGTCTTTAGTGTGGGCACTAATGTAGTTGGCCGTTTCAGAGTCGTCTGCACACTTCGTGAGCCATTTCCGGATCGTGGCGCAGTCTGTTGGGGCATGATACATCTGACGACACTTGAAACTTAAAATCAGAAAAGAAAAACATTCAAATATTAGTCAAGTTGGGGTCCGATGTTTTAAATTTTCCTTTTGTCCAAGCCAACAGATCCTGAGTTAGAGCTTTTCAAAGAGGTCAACTCACCTCTGAAGGCCTTTGGGACCTTTACTTACCCAGGATTATACTGGAATATGATATGAACATCTCTTCAACTTGAGCCCTTCTAAGATATCCTCTCAATATGCCCAAATAAAATATTTCTGTTTAAGTATCTGTGTGGTGTCAATCCTTCCTGAAAGGATGTCAAACACAGAGCTCAGCCTCTCAAAGGACACGGTGAGGTGCTCTGAGAAGGACCCCTTGGCTCAGACCCAAGAAAGGACTGAGATCCACTTATGGAAGCCTTGCCTCACCTCTCAGCCAGACATGTGCACACAAGATGCACAAATGCCAGAACCTGAGAAACCTGCAGGGTCATGACACATCTGATGACACTTGAAATTTAAAATAAAAAAAGAGGGCCGGCCCGGTGGCACACTCGGTAGAGTGTGGCGCTTCGGAGAGCGGCGGCCCTCCCGCTGAGTGTTCAGATCCCATATAGAGACCGGTCCGCTCCCTGGTTGAGCGTGGTGCGGGCGCGACACTGGTGACGAAAAAAAAAAAAGAAAAGAAAAGAAAAAGAAAAACACTCCAATATGCATCAGGCTAGACTTCCATGTTTTCAATTTCCCTTTTGTTCAAGCCAACAGTACTTTGTGGATAGCAAAGGCCCTTAGGCAGATAGCTGAACTCATGCCCCAGGGAAAGAAGTTCATAATGGGGACATGAGGATGAAGAGCAATTACATTAGTGGTTCTTAACCTTTGGTGGGCCACAGAGCCCCTCAACAATGTACTGAAAGGCAGGCAAGTGTGTACAGACACATCACATTTTCCATGTAGTTTCTGTGAAGCCTCACCACAAATCCTCTGGGGAGGCACAGTTAAGAGACAGATCTGGACCTAAATTATGGCTCTGCCATTTACTAGCAAGTTTACCCGGCACTTCAATTTCTTCACCTGGAACATAAGGGTAACAACAATTTCAATCATACACAGTTGTTGTGATAGTGCAGGCAAAATGATCAGGATAGTGCCTGTCACCTGGTAAGCCTTCGCTAAACTTTATCTATTCCCATGATATTTTATTGAATGGAATGAACTTTGAGTCAATATAGAATATGTTTATGAATTACAGTTTTATAAAAATTAGCCAAGAAAGGCCAAGACAGAGAAAGATTAATATGTTGAAGGTGGTAGCTTTCAAACACAGTAATATGTGAATTACATGTGTAGGCAGATACATACCCACATAGACACATACTATCTCTGGGCCTTGTGTCGTAGTAGCATAAACTATAACACATTCTCCAAGAATCTGTGCCACTTCCTTGTTTCCAGATGGAGCATTTATCAAACACCTCATGGAACATGAGATGTTGGGTACAAACTTGCCTACTTGGAGCAGAGTTGCTCTTCTGGCTCAGAGACCCCGCTTCTCCCAATCCCACCTTCACATAGACCAACAGCAGAGGTGCTTTGGAGGAAGATGGGGTATGAACCCAGGGCTGCTCAGCACCCACACTCACTCTTACCAGAAGACCTCATTGCACCGATTGCACTGCACTCGACGAGCTCTAGGCTCCTGTACCCGAATAACCATGGGGCAGTCTGCACCAGGGCACAGCTGGAGCTGGTAATGACTCTGTGAACACACCAAGGAGAAGCAATAAGGACATCCCTTAGTTACTGCTCCCAAAGTAGACCCTCCTGAGTGCTCAAATGCATTCTGTTCTTCCAGCTGAGGACTTACATTAAGGGGCTATACAAATTCAGGATGGATGTCATGAAGACCAGGTATTAGGCAGATACTGAAGAGGACCTTTGAATGTTTAGCTTAAACCAGTTAGCAACTCACTAGAACGATCTAAGATTATATTACTAAACAGAATACAGAATTGTATCTGTGAGATGAAAGTGCCTATGGATGAGGGCTAAAAAGGAACACAGCCCAGTCAGCTGTGCATAAGGGGTTCAACAACCCTCCGGAATCTATCAAACACAGCAAAGAGCACAAACAGCAACACCTTCTGTTTATCCTATAGCACGTGTGGGAGAAGACCCTGACCATAAATCAATCCAATAAAGCTTAGGCATAAAAGACAAAGATGAAAACTATGCTGCATAGAATCAGCAAGCCCAACAGGTAGCCCAGTAGAAGGAAAGGACTTCAAAATTGATCATACTGGAATCCTGGACAAGTTTTCAAATTGCTCAAGTAGCAACAGCCCTTCTCTGCGCTAAATCATACAGTGAAGAGAATGCAACAGCAACTCCTGAGATATGCCTGACTTGTGCGTTCATACCTGGCATACAATAGATTGTTTACATAACTGTGTAAAGTGGAGATATCTGTCCATTCTATGGAAGAAAAAACCAAGAATCAGAGAGGTAAAATAATGGGTCAATGCTCACACAGCATGGAAGCAACAGACCTGGGATTCACACAGTGGTTGGTCTGACTCTAGGGCCTGTGTTTTTCCCTACCACTCTAGTGGTTTTCAAACTTTTTTTAAAGCCATGAAGCTCTTTCTTTAAACAATAGCACCTAATGGCAGCCTAGTCTATAAAGTAAATAACTGTGGTGATGTTTGATGGAAGGTAGGCCCAGGAAGACAGAGGGCAGAACAATAGGGGCTGGTCATACCTCCACATAGTCCCTAAAGAGGTAGCGCCTGTATTTGTCTCTCAATTCTTCATTGGGAAGCAACGGAAACACAAAGTCCTCTGGTGTACGAAGTGGACAGTCCTGAGCCATACAGGAGACTCCTGTTGAACAAAGACAACCTAATGGACAATCGTATTACAGAAGACACAACAACAATATACTTGCCCACTGGGTTCAACCAACAAATTCAGATTCCACGTAAGTAACCCTCAAAGCAACAGAGTTTGGGCCGGCCCGTGGCTCACTCGGGAGAGTGCGGTGCTGATAGCACCAGGGACACGGGTTCGGATCCCATATAGGGATGGCCGGTTTGCTCACTGGGTGAGTGTGGTGCTGACAACACCAAGTCAAGGGTTAAGATCCCCTTACTGGTCATCTTTTAAAAAAAGAAAAAAAAGGGCCGGCCCGGTGGTGCACTGGATAGTGCGCCGCTTGGGAAGCGCGGCGGCGCTCCCGCCCGAGGGTTCGGATCCCACATACGGACCGGTTCCCGCTCACTGGTTGAGTGAGGCACGGGAGCAACGCCGAGGGTTGCGATCCCATTGCCGGTCCCCGGTCCGGTACGGGGGCAACACTGAGGGTTGCGATCCATTGCCAGACACGGAAAAAGACAAAAGACAAAAAAAAAAGAAAAAAAAAAGCAACAGAGTTTATTCAAAGAAGAGAAAAACTAACGTATGTTCACACTGATGTGACTAAAATATTAACCCAAATTATAACAAATAACTAAAATAACAACATCATTTTTAAAATCCTTATATAGGGTTCTTTACTACCAATTTAGTTTTATGGTGTTAAATATTATATGCATCTCCATACCAGCCAGCCGCCATAAAAAAAAAAACAACAAAAAAACCCCATGCATGTGATTTTGCAGATACCAATTAAGGTGATGCTAATTAGTTTTGATATCAGCAAGTCACAGTATAACAAATAATACTATAACTGATCAGTGTACTATGTTACTCAAATAACAGCAAAGTGTCTTGGGTGTTTCTGTGTTAGGGCTGCCACTTGAGGATCAAGATAGTGTAGGAAGCTTAAAGGACAGTTCTCCCAAAAGGTGAGAGAATGTAGCCTTGCACTCACACCAACATTTATAACAATATCTTTAATTTTCTCATTTTGCTGAGGACTGGGAAAACTTTGCCACTAGTTGGACTGATGTGTTTGGAAACCACTATTTCTCAACAATAACAGCCTCGATCAGGCTCAGAAGAAAACACTCAGTTTACTTGAGTACGTGAAAAGTCAGAGGTGAAAATAAAACATTTCATGCCAGCCTTTTACAAGTTCTGTGGCAGACTCACCCACACCCACGCCATCCTTGACAAGTACTGAGCAGTGTTGCTCCCAGCAGCTGCGGCAAAACTGGTGCTGACAGGCCAGAGAGAGTAGGTTTTCCTTCCGCACAAACTGCATACACACTGCACAATGGTGAGGGGGATGGGCTGTGGGAACCTGAAGAGAGGTAGAGCCACATGAGACAAAGCGGAGCCTTCATGTCTGGGGAGGCCACAAAGGTGCCTGGTGTAGTTGGGTGCATGGAAAACGGTCCTGACCCTACAAGTGTCACAGTTCAACTACAATATGTGGACTCTGCATCCCAAGGGTGCTAAGCAAAAAGCATATACCAGGAAAGCTTCCTGAAGGAGGTGGCACCTGAGCTGGGCTTGCAGAATCAGTCACTAGGATTCAGAGAGGGAGAGAGAAGGCTGAAATGAGAACTTATTGTGGTTACAAACTTGGATAGAAAGGAAAAACTCAGGATTTCAGATTTGCCAAGGTCCTTAGAGGTCATTTAGGCCAACTTCTCTTAGAGGCTATCAGGTTTCTTTTGTAAACTGCCCCTGTTCAGTTTAGCACAGTGTTGCCTCTCAACAAGTACTACAAACCCAGTCATAAAGGTTCTTAGAGGCTGAATCTGAAAAGCTTTGAACAGCCCACATTATAGTTTTACTTATTAAGGACAGTGGTTTTTCCATATCAATATGTCCAAACCACAGAATATTACAGCTTTTACCAAGTCAGAACTCATCCTTAATACACCAGAGAGATGTCACAAATTTTTTAGAGGGATGGGGAAAGCTCCTATTAGGAAAGCAAGTCTTCTAGGATGTGGGCAAATAACTAAAGCTTGAACTCCAGAATCCATGCAATGCTACACAAAATGGCAGACAACACAATCTAGGGACCCTGGCTAACACCACAACCAATGGAAAAAGCTCATTTACAAGCTTACATTAGGTTCTTTTTAGTTCACTGGGAGTACAAAAAGCAAGCTAAGGAAAAGACTGTGTTCTCATGTTCATCCAGTATGCTTCTGGAAACGCTTCTCCTAAGAGGCTGCAGAAGTTATATGGTGATCTGGGCCCCAATTCCCCCTTATAAGAGCTCTTTTAACATGGCTATCATTCAAAAAATATTCAACAAATGTTCGGTAAGCTCCTAGATACATAGGAAATTGCTATGCATTGTTAAGATACTATGGTAGGGGAGCTAAAAAAATATGAGTTAATCACTACACATATGTAAACGTTTACAGATATAATTAGAGGAGTTTGGAGGGGAGTGATCACAGGAAATGGGCTTTGTGAAAGAGGTGTCTTGGATTCTGGTCTTTAAAGGTGTATTCCATTCCTATAAGCAGATGGGGACAGAGTCTGGACATTCCAGGCCAGGGAAGACACAAGCAGAGTCAAAGAAGTATGCAGTGATCTCGGTAACACCAAGGCACTCAGAAGGAATGAAGTGCAGACTGTGTGTAAGTGCAGAGAGGAAGGAGAGGCTGGAGAGGGCCCAAGGACAGGCAATGATTTACTTCCTGTCTACAAGGAAACTTTTCAAACTATAACAGAAATGGAAGATTTAGGCCTACTATGGAACAAATATTTTGGGCATGTTGCACTATAAACAAAGCAAAGATGATTCTCAATGACAATGTAAGCCACACCAACAGCCATGTTTATTGGGAGAAGCTTCACTCAAGTAGGAGACACTCACATGTTTTGATGGATTAGGCTGGACTCGAGCCTCAATGAGCAGTTGAGCAGAATTGGATTTGTATCTACAAAACAAAAAGCAAAAATGAAGGGAATTAAAAACTGAAGACATTTTTACCTCTGAACAATAAAAGGATAGACCACCATGTGTTGTGGTCACAATGAAGTATCTTTGTCTCTAATTACCTCCTCACAGAACCAAGTTTCCTATTACCTTAGTACAAAGACTTTTTTTCCTCTTTGTATGTTTTAGCTCTCAATTGGTAAAAGAAAAGTAACTCTGCTTCAAAGGCACTGAACTCTAAGAAAAATACTTATAGTGGGCCAGATCTGCTTTAAATCCCTTTCTGGAAATACAGGCAAATATCTGTGTCTTCAGAATAAGGAAAGATTTCTTCGGACAGAAAATTCAAAATATGAAGGAAAAGTCAGATATATTATGCTACATTTAAAAACTTAAGTTTATCAGAAGGTCATAAAATGAGAAGCCAAGCCATAAACTGGAAGATATTATAACTGGCAAAGGATTAGTACTTAGCATACACAAAAAATCCATTTGGAAAAACAAAATAACTCAATAAAAAATGGGCAAAAGACTTAACAGGCATTTCATGGAAGAAGCAGCACAAATGGCCATCAAACATATGAACAGATGCTCAACCTCCTTAATAACCCAGGATATTGAAATTAGAAACAATTAGATTCCATTTACACCCACAGGATTGCAAAATTTTAAGTCTGACAACATCAGGAACACTCATCTATCACTGGTGGGAATGTAAAAGTGGTACGATCACTTTGGAAAACAATTTGGCATTATCTAGTGAAGCTGAAGACACACATATGCTACAGCCCAGCAATTTTCTTTCTATACTTAATCCTAGAAAAATTCTGTGACACTAGGAGTCACCTACAAGAGTTTTCAGAGCTGTATTATTTTACTTTATTTTAATTTTTGGCAGCTGGCTAGTGAGGTGATACAAACCCTGGATCTTGGTGTTATCAGTACCATGCTCTAACCAAGTGAGCTGATCGGCCAGCCCAGAGCTGTATTATTTTAACAGCAAAAGACTAAAAACATAAAAATGCTTTTTGACGGGAGAATAGATAAATATCCTTTGATAGGAGGATGGCATAAAATGCAACCATGTTAATTTAAAAAGCTGAAGAACACATACAGCATAATCCCATGTCTATAAAGTTCCAAAAACATGCAAATGGAAGATATATAATTTAAGACTAAATAAGAGAATGATCAACACTGAGTTCAAGACACTGGTTGCATTAGAGAGGAAGGAAGGAAATGGGTGTGGCCAGGGAGGGATTGCCATCTGAGGCCTCTGAGTGAAGGTCAGAGGGTTTCTCATTTGGTTGAACACTAGAGTGTTTGCTTTATTACTCTGTAAAACCTTATATACATCACATACACACCTTTAAAAAATAAATGATATCTTTCTTAATAAAAATGTAATTCCATTCTGGAATGAGGTATTACATAAATATATTAAAAAACAGAAACAGAATTATCACGTGGCAATAAAAGTACCACACAAAAGCCAGGAAAACGCATTTCCAGGATATCAGGAACTGGAGCAGAAAATATTTATACCTCATCTATGTGATTTCCTTACCCCACCTAGTCAGAATGCTTCCTTCAACTATCCTTGTTGAGGTACCTCGTTTATTACTAGTTCCCACACTAGTATTCTAAATATTTTTAGCCATCCTAATCTCTACTCTCAAGTTTATGCTAGAGAGTTTGGATACTGAGAAATACCCCAATACCAGAACCTAGGTGGTTCTACAATTTACTGCAGCAGTAACAATAGTGCAGACAGTGAAAGTTCATCTGCAATTTTATCTGAATGTATTTAATTCTTGAGTATAGAGTGTGATAGTGCAGGTAGTGAATTAAAAATTAATTTGCCCTTTCCTGATTGTCCTGAGCTGCTCCAGCAGGTATGGCCATCCCACTTGTGTTTGGCCTGCAGAAGGAAAGGCATGACCTTCCTCTGCTGGTATGGCTGTAGAATCATACCATATAGAGAAAGGAAGACTTGCTGCAGCTTCTCACCAGGGGCAGTTTTGTTCCCCAGGGGTTATTTGACAATGTCTGGAGATTGTCAAGGACTTGGGGGTGTTGCTGCTACTGATTTCTAGTAGGTAGAGCCCAGGGATGCTGCCAAACATCCTATGATTCATAGAACAATCTCCCACAACAAAGAATTATGCAGCCCAAAATGTCAACAGTGCTAAGAATGAGAAATACTGAGCTAGAGAGAGCACATGCCTGTCAGGGTAGGGCATAGGAGATCTCTCCAGAGGGCGCAGAAAGAGGAGGAACCCTTCTTTCCAACAGCTTCTAAGACATTTTAAGACTCTGAGGTCTGTGCCTCAAGAGCTCTGGTTTCTGGAGGAGGTGGGAACAAACACTCAAATATCCTGCTGGCAGAGGTGGTGGGTGGTAAAGTGGCCAACAATTCTAAAGGCAATATGCCATGTATTTATGATGCACTCCTCACTTGATGGATCCAAAAGAAGTAACTGGAGATGTTGGCAAGTGCTACCTAGAAGGGCACTGATTAAAAATTACAGTGGCACAGAAAATTTGAACTAACTACATTGTCCAACGAAAGGGGTTTGGAAAAAGTATGGAACATCTCTATGATGAAATACTACCCAAGCATTAAAACTGGGGCAGAAGAATATGCTGAAGACATGGGAACATGTTTACAATATATCGAGAGAAAAGATACAATATGATTGTTTTAAAAATGTAACATGGGGCCGGCCCGGTGGCGCACTGCTACAGTGCGCCGCTTGGGAGCGCGGTGGCGCTCCCGCCGAGGGTTCGGATCCCACATACAGACCGGTTCCCGCTCACTGGCTGAGCAAGGTACGGGCGCGACACCGAGGGTTGCGATCCCGTTGCCGGTCCCGGTCCGGTACGGGCGCGACACTGAGGGTTGTGATCCGTTGCCGGACACGAAAAAAGACAAAAAGGAAGAAAAAAAAAATGTAACATGCACGTTGGATGAATATACTCCAAAATGTAAACAATAATCACCACTGAGTAGGGAGGCAGAGAGGAGAGCTATGGGCAATCTCATCTCCCTCCCCCCAAACACCTTACCTGTCCAAGATCTCTGAGACTTGCCAGTGGAAATTAACTAATATAAGTTTAGCAACTGAATGGGATACCTAAAAAGAAGACAGAAAAAAAAAAATCAAATTATAACTAGTTTCTTTTAGAGTGCTCCTCATTTTGAGAAATGTATACATTCATGTTTATGCCAGTCCCAGGCTTAATTTTCAAATTCTTCCTCTTGTTTCTTTGCTTCATCTTTCAAGTTCAGACTCTTATAATTGTAGTGATTTCATGGATCTCTTGATTTTTTTTTATCTTTGTTTTCTTTAATGACCCTTCCAAGAAAATTAGTTTTATTGGAAACTTACATAAAACCACCCTTTTACAATAAATTACAACCTAGTATCCAATACAAGCAAAAGAACTGTGGGTTCCCTAATGTAACATATGTTCTCTCAAGCTGCTGTAGGAGGCCATACATGGGAGCGCACTTCTAGTTAGGCCTGTTACTCAGAAAATCTCCAGGCCTGGACTTCTTGTATAAATCCCATTAAAAAAAAAAAATCCAAAAAGGAAAACAAAACAAAAACCCCAAAACCCCTTTTAAAATCCTTGAATTCCCAACATCCAATGAGCACTAATATTGAGGACAGTCTAAAAGTTTGTGGGCAGCTTTTCTGGCCCCTAAATTATTTTAGGGGACATTTAAAGCACATGATTATGGCTATCAAAGAGCCTCAAAAGCTGCTCTGAGCCAGCAATTCTACTTCTGTAAATTCCTCCCAAGGAAATGATACAGGATATGTGCACAGCAGGGTTATTTGCAAAAGTAAAAAATTAGAAATAACCTAAATGTCCAACAAAAATGAGGTAGATAAATAATGTATGACAGATCCATGCAATGGACTACTCTGTAGTTACTGAAAAGGATGTCGTAGAAGTTTGACATAGAAAGAACTGTAGATTTTAGTGTTAGGTTGAAGAAGCAAGTAGTAAGATAGTGTCTACATGTTATAGCTATAACATCTTGTTGATTGGAAAGTAAGCTAGTTACAAAACAAACACCCTAAGTGTCAAGACTAAGGTGGGACCACAAAAGATTGGGACATTTTGGAGGCCTAGATCAGGCTTCCCAGAGAGAGCAATGCAGAGCATGAGATTGCTACTGTATCAAGGAGAAATAAGAAGCACACTTCAGTTAGAGATCCAAGAGAACACACAGAATCTTGGTACTCTGCTCGCCGGACTGAGTCCTTAAACAGGAGCTACTAAGGACCTACAAAGTAGTGTGTGCCTGGTCCACAGATAAGAACAGCGGGGGGAAAGACACAGTGACCAACATGTGATCCACCCACTAGAGTTCAAATCTCCCCTGAAAGGAGACTGGTGCACCCTTACTAAACAATTAGTGTCAAAGACTGTACAATCACTGAGTGTACAGCCTTCCTGTCCTACAGACCAGGTAAATCTGGAGAAAACCAAGGACTCAAGATAGCTTACTTCACTCAGGGTGGGGGTCCCCCCATTTCCTTCCATACAAGGTAAGAGGCATCTAACCCATGCATGTTGCCATAGTTATTTTCTTGTTAAGGCCCATAGAGACTTAAGGCCTAGGTTTCCTGAATTACAGCTGATATTTCTTCTAACTGTGGCCATAACAAAACTGGTTTTTGTTTGTTTTTTGTGGCTGGCCAGTATGGGGATCCGAACCCTTGACCTTTGGTGTTATTAACACTGTGCTTTAACCAACTGACAAGCCAACCAGCACCACAGCAGAACTACTCATCCTCAACAGACCACTATCACCAAATGAAAACAGAGACAAGACATTTGTTTTAAACTCTAACTGTGTGAATGTAGCTTTTGGCCACAAATACTTTTTAAAAACATGACAGTGATACTGTTTTGGATGAACTCCTTACTGGAACCTTTTCTGTCTTCTCTTACCCAGCAGTGCCCAATCAGCCTTACACCTACTACTTTCTGTCCTGATTTCTAAATGTCTCACTATGCAGTGGCCACCAGGTCCTAACAAGCACTGAGCTACTGGGAAACCCAGAGGAGTCCTGGCTATGTCCAACAGCCACCTCTCCTCATCACCACAAATGGCTTAAGTGGGGCCTTTAAACTAAGGACAGAGGTCAGGCTGCTTCTTATACATCCACAGAGCCCAGAACTAGACTGGACACAGGGTGGCCAGTTAATACATTCTGATTATTAATAAATGATACTATATCTTCAACCTGTGGGATTTCAAAATAAAATTCTGTTTCTTTCAGAAGGTTGAGAAATTTTAACACCCTACCTGGTCTGATCCCTTGATCTCAACAATACTTACAGCTGAGAGGAAGCCTCAGAACTAATACACCACGTAGAACCCACCTACCCTCTGGCCCTCTATTGAAACCAAAAATTTACTCCCCCCCCTTTTTTTTTTGTCTTTTTTCGTGACCGGTAACGGGATCGCAACCCTCGGTGTCGCGCCAGTACTGCGACCGGCAATGGGATCGCAACCCTTGGTGTCACGCCCGCACCGCGCTCAGCCAGTGAGCGGACCGGTCTCTATACGGGATCCAAACCCTCGGCGGGAGCGCCACCACACTCCCAAGCGCCGCACTCAACCTAGTGCGCCACCAGGCCGGCCCCAAAAATTTACTGATGAATATAAGTCTACTAATGACCAACTCAGAACATCCCAGCAGAGCTGAGTTCTGGTGAGAAGAGATAATGTAAAGACAGGATATATCCAGCACTTTATGAGGGTACTTCAGAAAGTTCAGAAAAAATCTGTGTTATCTTTCAATTCTATTTTCCCAAACTTTTTGAAGTACCTTCATATAAAACTGACAGTGCAGTGATGTGAATCTATTGTTTTAGTCCCAACAGCCAAGAATACACAATATATACAAGATGGGCACGTACAAGTGTTAGCTGTACACACCTCCCACTAGCCTTCTGCAGGAGGCACTACTGAGATCTCCACATCACAGTGAGGGAATTGCCCATATTATGTCCATGGTACACAGAAGATCGGGGCTCTTTCCCTCAATAATCCACTAGAAATTTGATGGAATTCTGAGACAATTAATTCAAGCAAAATGTATTGTGACTGCACCTCACCCATTAATGAACACCAGAGAGGATCTATAGGAAAGACAGGCTCCTAAGGGCCCTCTGAGCAAAAGCACCACAGGGATGGAAGAAGACAATGAGAAAATGGTACTCTGGAAGAATTTATTCTAAAAGGTAGTCTCAGAAGAGAGGCTACCTCCTCCCTGATTTGGGTCACAAGAGAGAACTGACTGCACCTTCCCACCCCACTTTAGCAGCTTTCCAGAGGAAGCAGTGGCCACTCTGAGCCACCTTGGCCTCCTGGCAGGAGGGCCAGGACAAACCTTGTGGATGATATTAAACCACATTACTGTTTAATGCTCAAAGAGCTCAGCAATCCATTCTGAATCTATTAAAGTCAACACTTCCACAACTGGGAATAGTTCCTCCACCCCTTGTTATTCTTTATCATGTGGTTCAATCGTGGAGAGAAAACCTTTCAGCAGAATCAAGAGGAACTCTTGCTGGGCTGTTTTGATCAAGGAACTAACAACCTATTAGTAGTTAAGATTAAGTATTATCAAGATGACTTATAAAGAAAAGGCCAAATCTTTTCCAAAAGGAAAACAGGTCCAGGATAGTAATCAACCACTGAAAAACAAAAAAAAACTAATGACTTAGGACGAAACACATACAATCAATGTCATGTTTGGAATAAACTTGCACTTCTATTAGATCAACATGTAACAGGAAGATTAAAAGTCATGTTTACTTTCTGAATGCTTTTTCGATTTCTAGAAACACTAATTGAGGAAAAGACTGGAAACCAAGAACTAGAAAGTTTCTTTTCCAAAAACTAGAAGTCTCAAGGGAATGAGAGTAATCTGAGTCTCTAGTCACAGAGATAGAATAGACATCCACCGTTCTCTTCATCTCAGGTGCCTAAGAGGGTCCAAGGATCCCTCTCAAGGTGAATGGGTCACTATTTCCAGAAAACCCACTCCCCATTTCATCTCCGCTATTCCCCAGGGAGAGTCTTACTCCTGCGTAAACAGTAAACCCTAAGCTTGTAGAATCTATGACAGCCACTTTGGACATTCACAAGACCATGAGTCAAGAATATAATGAATTTATACAAAGACTCTCAATAGCAGAGATAAGATGTCTTTCTATACCACCCCTGCCTAGATCATGTTGAACTACATATTAAAGCTATTCTCAAGAATCAGGTTTGATAATTTATGTATAATACTTTAGAAAGCTTAATGGATCTACCTGCCAAAATCAGAAATTAAAAAAATATATAAATAAATAAAATCCATGAATTACTTCTGATTTTAATTCAATTTGGTTCATAATTTGACAGGATATTGATTTCAAGTGCTGAATTTCAATCTACTCAGAATTGCTGACAATGAATATACTAGGATATTCTTTATACGGCAATAGAAGAGGGACCCTCGGACCCTCTTAGGTACCTGAGATAAAGAGAACACTGTTGCCAAATTCAACAAACATTTCTCATGCATTATCTTGTTGGTAGAATCTAACCCTTAAATTCTCACTGCCTTCACATCCCCTCCTGGAATCTGTGATGAGTCTTTTGCAGCACCTATTCAGGCATTCTAAGTGTGCTCTTCCTCCTATATCCCCATGTTGGCAGTGGGGGGCACCACATTCCCACCCCTTCCAACATAGGACCCTTGGACTTTTCCTCCATGTCTCACTCTTCCCTACAATTTCCCCCTCTCCCATTATCACTACTCCACTGTCTAATCTCTAGTCCTTCCTCTCCTCAGCACTCCCATCAGAAGAGCTTCACTATCACCTGCTCAATAGAAAGACATCTTAATCGATATGCCTATCTACTGTATGGACCCCTCTACTCCATTATCCTTGGGATGAGCTTCCTGACGTCCCTATGTAACAGTAACAATAACAGACAATTCTTATGGAGTCCTTACATCTTGTCAGGATCAGTTCCTACCCTGTTTAGAAGCCATCACTGCTCTCTAGTACTGACAGGACAAATTTTACACCTTAGTTGAAAAGAGTCATCAAG